ATTGCTACCTGCTGCTACCTCCTTCAGCAAATCGGGCTTCTGACTCAGCCTCAGGCCCACGAGGCCAGGCCATCAGCCGAGGGCCAACTATCTGTTGCCTTGTCCACAGGCCTAAGGACAAGGAGTTGCTTGGAGAAGAGATAAGGACAGGGAAGGGTGAGACGGAGCAAGGTGAGAGCATGCCGTCTTTCAAGGCACCCGGTGAAGGACGGTATTTCATAGGACCAGGGCCTCGTACACAACTCCAGCTGGTGTCATTAGGACCAAGATGGGGAAGTCCAGGAATCATCAGTCACTTGTTCCCTTGGGTAGCTGCTGCCCCTGCCATGCTCGACCCCCACAGGCAGCTAATAAAGAATCACCCAGAAAACTGCAGGTGGCAAAAGGACCCCATCATTCTTCATCTTCTGCCAGAGAGGTCCAGGATGAATGAGGTGCAGACGCTGGAACTGTCTGCATCTCAGCTCTTCTGGCCTTTCTGCAGCTGTCTGGCCCCCTCAGGAAAGGCCACCACCTGGGACAATGGATGCCCTGTGGGGTGACGACTGGTGAGCCAGCATGGGTGCTGCTCTCTGAGTGAGCCCAGCACGCTGGTGACCAAGCCTTCGAGCGAGGCCGTGCCCACAGCACAATCTCCTAGCCAGGCAAGGGCACCAGAGAAAACACTTGAACCAGTTCAGGTCCCTACTTGATGAGCTAAGCCAGTGTCCGTGAAGATGGTGTTTTGATTTCATTCCACAGAAGTGCAGCCCAGTGAATTCAGATAAGTGCAAACTCTACCTCCTTCCTGGTTCTGTCTGTGGGCCAGTTACTTCAACTCTCACAGCCTCAGTTTCTTCATCTGTAAAATGAGGAAGATAATAGTACCTACCTTGTGGAGGGCTGTGACGACGAAGTGAAATAACAGAAGTACGTTGCTTTGCCTGTGACAATGCCTGGAACATTGCCAACGCACACACAACACATGCGAGTTGCTATTACTGTCATCACCATTTTCATCATTATTACAAGCTATTCCATCACATAACATACAGCAACGGCTCCCAAAGCTACTCTTTGTTGAGACTCGGTGTTCTAAGCACTGGCCCTGTGCTAGGAAATTTACATGCATTCCTCCTTTGGTCCTCACTCTATCTTCGCTGGATAGAAACAGACTTGGGTTCGGTGACTTGCTCAACGACATGTCAGCAACCACTCAGCCACCAAAATCACTTCCACCAGCTGGTAATGAATGATTACGTTCCACCTAGGCGGCACTTTTTCATTCTGAAAGCGTCTTTTTATAGAGACTGTGAAGACTGCCTGAACTAAGTTGGAGGGGGCGGGGGGGGGGATATCAGAGATAACCTACAAGGACCCACAGGCACGCAGCTTGCTGAACCAAAAATGGTCTATGAGTGGAGAGCATCCAATCAGACACCACCAGGGTAACATGGTGTGCCCAAATGCCACACAGAATACAGCAGAGAGCTAAGTCCACTGTTCTCTACTGTTCCCGAGTCAGCATCTTCCATGTTGCACAGTGGAATCTGCTCTCTCATGTTTTGTCCATGGCAAACCTTGGGAACAGATTCCTCCATTGCTGACAATCCTACCACACCCCTCCACCCTCTCCTGCTCATCACGCCCAGACCAGGGAAGCAGGGTAAGCCCAAGGAGGTGAAGTCCTTTTCACAGCCCCTCCAAGGTAGCTGGGCACCCCGAGGGTCTGAGGCTCAGCCGCTCTACAGCCAGACCTGCCTAATGCTGTCCCCCCAGGCATTACAGTCAGGGGTAACAAGATGGTGTATCACCACCCTTCACAGTGAAGCCACAGCCAGAGCTGACAGTGACAAACGGGCAGACAGGCTCAGCCTGGCAGGGACACAGCCCCAGGGTCTCCCTTGGCTGGGTCAGCGGGAGGAAGGCTGGCACTGGGGGCCAGAGGCAGAAAGTTCTCTTCTGAAACTCAGGGTGGCAAAGAGAACGGGCCTTTACAAGCAAGGGGGAGCCAGTGCCTGGCAGCGGTGTTCTCCCAATAACCCCAACCAGTCTCCAAAATCAGCATCTTAAGTGAGTCAGAAGATGTGCCTTGAAAAAGCTCACTGGGTGAGCCTTGGAGTCACCGAGTTTCCAAGCTCTGAAATAGACCCTCCTGGCGTCTCCTACTCCACACTCGGGGAAACTCAGACCCAGACAGAAAGGAACTCGCTGTGCTGAAGAGACAGGATGCAAGCTAGAGTCAGGTTTGGGTTCAAAACCTACAATATGGGCAAAATCATTCACCTTCTGAGCCTCAGTTTCCTTGTCTGCAAAATGAGAACACATCCAGCCTGCCTCAAAGATTGTGACAAGGCAGGGACAAATGCCACACAGGCAATCGGTGGCAGCAGCGAGACTCCAACAGACAGCTCCTCATTTCCCCATCTGGAGCCTGTGCCACCCGGCTGCCTCCGTTTCAGCTATTTGTTAGGATCAACGGAAAAGGGACTGGTCCATGGGGTTCCAGCTACTATGATATTTGGGTCACACACTCATTCTCCCAGTGAGACTCAAATGCTATCTTTTTCCTTTCTGGGAGATCAAAGGGTGACCTCTTTGCATACAAAGACCAGGACTGTCCAAAGAGGCAACTGTGCTTCTGGGGCCTCTCAGTGCCAGAGGCTGCTTTGAATTAGAGACTTTGCTCCCACCCACAGGCACACAGAGAAGCCGCTCCTCACAGATGGGGACCAGGGCAGGCCTGAGACTTGGGAGCCCTGGTGAATCCTCACAACACTCTTTGGCATTTAAATGTGTAAGTTTGTGTTTTTTTTTTTAAAGCCAGCTACAGATGTTTCTACTCCGGGCAGAACTAAAGTGCAGGGCTGCAGCCAAAACCCTCAGAGGGGGCCGTGCTGACATTCACTCATAGGATGGTGATGGCCAAAGGCAGATGGTGGCTGGAGACAGCCTCCCAGCATCATGCCAAGGTCAATTCCAAGGGCTCTTAGGGTGACGGGGAAGTGGGGGATCAACTGAAAGGCATTTAGCCAAAGCCCCCAAATTAATCATGGAGTCAGAGGGTGTAAATGCTAGCACGGAAAAAAAGCTGATAATCACCCTAACAACAGCTACCATTTATTAAGCACTTACTGTGTGCAATGTGCACACAACTTGACACATACATAAGCTGATCTAATCCACACAACCATCTATGAGATGGATCTATGATGATCCCCATTTTACAGATGAGGAAACTGAGGCTCAATGAGGCTTTTAACCGGCTTGAGGTCAGGCACGCTGCTCAAATGTACCAGAGCTGAGATTGGAACCCTGGCCTTCTCCGTCAGGCCATGACATCCTGCCTCACCCCTCTGCTGTTACACACTTGATATGTCATCACTCCTTTTCCTCATCCGGGCTCCCCAAGCCACCCTCTGATGGCCACGTAGGCCCACCGTCATGGACCATTTCTGGTCTCTCTGACAGTGATTGCTCTTGACAAATGGATAAATCGGCCTTCTGGTGTTGACGTGGGTCGCAAGTGCTGTTTTGCTTTGCTTGATTCAGGGCCTGCACCCCCTAAGCAATAAAACAAGCCAGGCTCTGCAACCTCTCCAGCTGGCGTCACATGGGTGCAGTTCCCAGCCCTCAGCTAAGTGCACGACCCACAAATGTGGACCATAAACTGAGCTCACCATTCCACCCCGGGCCCACCATCCAAGTGGACTGTTGAACCCAACAGTCTTGACACTGGACACAAAAGTTGGATGTTTGCTACATGTGTAATTTTCCAGGAAGAGAATTCATAAATTTCATCAAGGTCTTAAAGGGTCCGTGGCCTCCCTAAAAAAAAAAAAAGGTTTTGAAATCCTATGTAAAGGTAAAGAATAGACCCCCACATGTAGCGAAAGGCACCCTGCTGCCCACTTGAGGGGTCTTGGTAACAAAATCATGGGTGATGATTAAGCTCATATACTCTGGAGTTAGAAAGAATCAGGTTCAAATCCAGGATCAACGATTACATAATAGCAGTGTGACTCTGGACAAGTTCTTTGAGGTCCCTGTGCCTCAGTTTCCTTATCTATATAATGGGAATAATCCAGCTGGACCATGGGTCGTTCCAAGCACTAAATGAGGTCGTGCATGTGGATGATTAGCAAGTGCCGGTGCTCAGTACACATTGTTTATCATTGGTCAGAGCGGCAACACAACATGGACACCCTGTAGCTATATGCAGGGCTGGGCATCTTTCCTCCACGCTCCAGCAGCCCCAATCCTCCTGAGTTTCCAGTCAATAAAAGTTCTTGTCTTGGCTGGAGGACTGGTTGGATCTTTTTCAGGCCCCCCCCCCTCTAACCGCGCCTCTGCCTGTTCAGCAAAACAGGCCTCTGGGCAGAGAAGATTAAGTGCTGTCTAAGACCTCAGCCCTTGATCACTACAAAGTTTCATTTCCACGCTGAGTAATAACCACTTTGTCTGCAGCAGAATTCATGGGAGCGGTATGTAAGCACCCCAGGCCACGCAGCTCAGCGTGAACCCAAATACATCTTTGCGATATAAAGGTTATACGAGTTGACCTGCGTGGGTGAGGGGGTGGGGAGGGGCGGGGTATTACCAAATGCAATCGCAAAAGCCTTTTCCAGAGCAGAAAAAGAAAAAAGCCTGTGACTGGGCATCCGAGAAGCAGAAGCGAGCAAAAGCTGATGTTTCTTTCCTTGAACACCCTGCATGCTTGTTTGCTTCCTTCTGTCATCCCTACACACCTGCAGGCAAAACGAGTAGGGACGTGGGACCAATGACAACAGCCAGTCAACCTCCAGGGCGCCAATTACGCCCCCTTCCCTTCAAAACCATCCAAAGGGGTGTACGTGGCGCGGGCGGGGGTGAGGCAGGAACGCGGATGAGGACGCGCACGCAGATGAGAACGCGGCTGAGGCGTGTTCAGTGACCATTTCACGAGCATTTTTCACCAAAGGAAAAGAAAGGGGCGCATGCGCCTGGCACAGAGAGCTGCGCCCAGGTGCCCGGTGACTTACTTGAGGAGAAGTTGGCCTCGGTGTGGACTGGAGGGGTAGAGGGCAGGAAAGGCCCGTGTCCCACAAAGAAGGAGCGGAGGGAGCGCTCGGACAGGAGCGGGGAGCGCTGCTGCGAAGGGATGTTCTCACAGCTGCCCACACTGCTGTGAATCTTAAGGTTCAAGGGTTTGCTTTTCTTCTTGGCTCTAAAAGGGAGACAGAAAAGGGGGGGAGAGAAATGTATCCATACGCATACAAAATGAGAGCAGGGAGCCCCAGTTTCCTTAGCATGGCACCCAATCCCCACCCCACCCCCACCTTGATCTGGCCTTGGGGCCCGCTCCCTTCCCCTCTCACTGAGCTCCAGCCACATTTCTGTGCTGTTTCTCACCTCCAACCCTTTGCTTATGCTGGCCCTACCACCTGGAATACCCTCTCCTTCTTCACCTGGTTAATTACTAGCTGTCTTGGATGATTTAGTTCCGGTGTCCTCTCCTCGAGGAAGCCTTCTCCAATACCCCAATCCTTCTTAGCCAGAATTAAGTGTTCTTCCTCCAGGAAGCCTTCCCTGATACTCCCAAGACCCACACAGAGACATGAAAAGAGCCCACAAGCTTTCTGGCACTGATAGGCAGAGAGAAAGGGGCTAGGCCAAGGGGATTTCACCCTTGCCCTGTGAAAAGCCCATCCTACCATGGGGTATAAGCAAATAGATGAACAATGATTTTTCACGTAGGTCCTTAGAGACGCTCTAGAGAGTCAGGGGCAAGTTCAACTCCAGGCTCCAACCTTGTGTGTGCCTGCACATCTTGAGTTCCCAGAATCCCCCCTGCCCATTGGCCAACTGCCCTTTGCCCTTTGGCCATTGGAGGAAGACAGTAAATCCAGGTTGACCTCAGTGAGTCCAGGGGATCTGTGTCAAGGTGGCTTCCATCCCCTACATGATTTTATCCTTCCAATTCACCGCCTTCCATCCATATAAAAAACAATAAACCCACTTCTGCAGAAGTTAAGCCTGATGACTTCCAAGAGCTCCGAGGAGAGAGGCTAAGCCTTAGGCAGGACCCCAGCACCCCCTTGGCCAGGACTTATGGTACCAAGCCCTTTCTGCAGAGCCCACCCACAAACCTGGCTGGTCTTTACCAGGAGCTCCAGAGGGTGCCTGCTTTAAGGATACAGAAGGAAGGGCGCTCCCCCAAACCATAGGCTGAATCATATGGGGGCACCTCAGGCGATCTGCAAGGGATATGGGGGAGTTATGTGGCGAAGAGGCTCTGGGAGCCCCCCCAGCCTCCACCCCTGCTCCCACCATAGCAGTGTGGCTTGGTAGCGGTGGAGGGTGAGTGGGGTCTTGCAGCCTGGTGTTGAATGACACAATTCTGAAGCCAGACTCTCCGGATTCGAATATTGGCTTCACCACTCTTGGGCGAATCGGTTAAACTTCTGCCAACCTCAGCTCCCTTATCTATAAGATAGCCCTTCTTCATAGGGTGGTGGAGAGAATGAAATGAAATCTTCCCTGTAAGTTCCTTAATACCAAGTACAACATTACCTGGTATTGTTACTATTGTTATATATGGAGAATCTGTCTGATATTTTCTTTAGATGAAAGAATCTGAAGCTAAGACACTGTGGAAGCTTCGGCAATTTTGGTGTTTACTCTTTGGGACTCTTCAAGACCCAAGAGATTAAATGGTATTCTTTGTACACCTGGTGCCTCACAAAGTGACTTGGCTGAATGATCGCTAACTGGCAAAAGGGAGGAGGGGAGGGGTATGCCTGTCCTCAGCTCATAGCCTTTGGCCCATGGTCAGCTCTGAGTCCATTCGAGAGAAGAGAGAAGGGTGACGTTCCCTCCACACCCTACACACAGGCTCTGGTTCTACCGGGGAGTGATTTGCCTTCCGCCTACAGCACAGGGCATTCAGGGAAAAATCGGGGAAAGGAAGTGGGGGGCTTAGCAATAATCCATAGGTCAAAGCCGAAATAAAAATACCAGGGAATTTCAAGACGCTTTTTGGATTAGTAATTTTTTTTTTCCTGGACAGCTTGCTTGCAAACAGAGAATTAGAAGATGAAATTATTCCATTTCCAACAGGACTCGTGTTGAGAAAAGGATGAGGAGGAGATACCAAAAGCTAAACGTTTCCAGGCTACTTCTGATAAAGCTTTGATCTGAAATAAAGGGAATGCATCTCTGAAAGTATAAACAGAAAAAAGGGACATTGGGGTGTTTTTTTTTTCTTTAATTTTCACTTTACCAAACAGGAGGCGTAACCATAATATTAACAACAGCTGCTATTACTGCTGCTTTGATTCGAGTGCTGACCATGCCCCAGGGACTGTATCAAATGCTTTTCACGTATTATCTCATTTAAGCCCACAGTAATATTATAAGGGAGGTGTTACTATTATCTTATTTCCACTGATAAGAACGCTGAAGCACTGAGAAGGTAAGAGATGTGTATAACGTTGTGTCAGCATTTAAACCAGGCGGTGTGACTCCAGGGTCCATCTTTCAATCACCCTCCACACTAGACTCTCCAGGTGAATCCTGGCCTCAGACTGCCATCTACTCTGAGAAGGGCTGTCCCCTGGAGCTTGATTTTGGACATGTTCAGGCCGGAGGCACTGGAATGGCTAGTTACCGAGCCCGGAATCTTCACTTTAGCTCCAACCGTTTCTCCTCTTCGGGTCCTTTCTCCAGAAACACCCACAAATCATTCCCACACAGATTTTCCATGTGCCCTTCTCTCTCCAGTGCCGAGCTCTGTCATTTGCAGACACTAAGAGAAAAAATGTTGGAACAGAGGAAGGAGGAGGGGCAAGGAATCTCGAGAGTCCCCACTCACTGGCTCCCAAGGAATAGCAAAATTGCTCCTTACAGGATGTTTCTACTGTCTCTCTCTTTTCTCTGCCTGGTGAACTCCTACATATACGCCACAGCCCAGTTCAAATGTTCCCACATCAGTGATGTCCTCTTCCTCCCCCACGGAGTCAACTTAGCATGTCCCTCACCTCACCCTTGTAGTATCTGCTCCCCCATCATAGTCTGGATAAGACTCAATCTCCTTAACGTGGCATCCAATACCCCACTCCCCACCTTGATCAGACCCTGCGGCCCTCTCACTGAGTTCTGTGCTGTTTCTCACCTTCAATCCTTTGCTGATGCTGGTCCCACAGCCTAGAATACCCTCCCCTCCTAGCCTGGGTTGATTGTTCTTCTTCAGTTCTCCTAAAATATTCTGTATATATCTCTGTGGCTATACGTTCCTATTTTTTCCAACTTCATTCTTTTCATTTTTGTCTCCCACATGGATTGGGCGTCTTTGAGGACAATGATTTTGTGTTGTTCATGTCTCTGTCCTTGGCAACTAGCACAGAGCCTGGCACACAGTAGGTGCTGGTTAAATGCTTACTGAATGGCCAATCTGGATTAGGTCTCTGGTGCTTAGCACATTACATCCTACTACTTTTGTCTTCCACCCTCCACTGTGGGCTCCTTTAGGGCAGGAACCTCTGGTTTTCATTGATGGATCTCTCAGCCCCGAGCTCTGCACCAGCTACACAGAATGAAGCTCTCAAGCTGGCTTTGAAACATTTCTCACCCCCTCCCAAGGATCCTGGGTGATCATTTTAAGAGAGTTTGGTATAAAACTGCAACTAAAACTAACCTCACTGCTCTCCTCCCCACCTCCCCCAATACCCCATTATTCAGGTCTGGCCAGGAGTTGGGCACCCTCTTGTGGCCAACATGAACCCTCCTTGCAAATTTTCATAGTTCTGGATGGAGCACCCGGGAAGGTGTGTTAATTGAAGACTGGAGACCTCCCACACAAGCAGCCTACAGGTCCCCCTGGCTGGCAGCCCTGTTTATCATCTCCCCAGGGGCCTGTGGCAAGGCTCAGGGAGGAACCTCCTGTTACAGCAGCTGGCTGGCTCTCCCTGCCCATGGTTGGAGGAGAGAGAGAAGCAAAGAGGTGGTGGCATTTCACTCCACATGAGTGTCCAGTGGTGGAAATTCCAAGAGGCCCTTACACCAAGGCAGTATAATTTAGGAGCTACACTTGTTGGCTCTGGGGTCAGGGAGTCCAGGGCTCAGGTCCTGACTGTGACTTCAGTAAGTGATCTCACCTCACTGTGCCTCGGTTTCCTCACCTGCACAATGGGGAAAATAATGGCACAGGACTCCGACGCATATCATGACAATTCTATGAGAACAAGTGCTTGGTACAGGTCCCAGGACAGGATGAGGATTCAGGTTACCTGTTATTCATGTCCGTAAGACCAGGTTAAATCAGGTCTCTGCACAGCATGGAAAGAAGCTTGAAGAAGCCAGAAATGGAAGCCAAGCTGTGTTTTTCACCTGAGACATCCAGCAACCCTCTCAACCCACTACCCTTGACAAATGAAGAGGATGCAGTCAAACCCTCTAGCAACAGAGACCACTGTCATCTCCAAACCACAGATGGGAACCTTGAGGCACGGGGCCACTGAGGGGCGAGGCCAGATCCCCATACAAAGAGAACCAACTCTAACCCAGCACAAGTTTAACAGTAGCTCAATAAGAGCCTGTTTGCCTGACCAACTCATGGCCACAGATGGAGGAGAGAAGGGGTGCATATACATACAAATGGATGGATAAAAAGCTGGGTTGAGGGAAGGATGGATGGGTGAATGGGAAAAAGGATGCAAATGAAAAGACTGAATGAATGAAGGACAGAGAGGATGGGAGGATGGAAGCATGGATAGAAGGAAGGGAGGAAGAGGGAGGAGAATGAGAGGATGAAAGAATGAGAGGACAGATAGATGGAATGAAAGAGCGAATGGGAAGATAGAAGAAGGGATAAAAGGAATGGAGGCGGATGGGAGGATGGAAGGGAGAATGGATAGATGGAGAGATGGGTGGATGGAAGGGTGAAAAGATCAAAGGATAGAAGGATGGTAGATGGATAGAGCAATAGATGGATGCGATGAAGGAAGAGAGGATGGTAGGATGGAAAGATGGATAGATGGAAGAGAAGATGGTAGGATGGACAGATGGAAGAGAGGACAGAAGGAAGAGATGGAGGAGGATAAATGGCTATTTGACCAGAGGAGGTAGAAGAAAATCCTGTATCGCTTCCCACCCACCAAGGAAGTCTCCGTGGACAGGATGTGGGATTCACTTTTACCAAGTACCCTCATTACCCAGGTATGCTCAGAG